TAGCTAGATCAATAGATGGCTACGCCGGCTACGCCCAGCGAGCGAGAGAGAGAGAGAGAGAGAGATAGATCAATAGATAGTGTCAAGTTGGGTTACGCGATTTTTCCCAGATGATCAGAAGGACCTGCCTGCCACAGAGAAATTCTTTGTATGGGATGGTGCTGGCAATTGCTTCGAAGAGGAACAAGCAGAAAGATGGTGAGATTCCTGTTAACGAAGGAAAGGTTAAGAAGATCCCCATTGGGCTCTCCCTCGGCCCAAGGCCGGTCACCAGTTGAGATCCTCATTTGGTGGTGGCATCGTGGGTTGGGGAATAAGCCAAGCTAGGAACTAGACCTCCCAAAAAAAGCGGTGGTTAACTTTATGGATACGTGAAAGTCTTTATTGTTCATCAGTGAAATGTATCCCCCTTGGAATTTCCTCTACGAAATGGTAGGGGTTAACCCCCAGAAACGGAACCAAAATGATATAGTTTTTTTCTAGTTTTTTTGGAAGGGTTGGGTGCAACCATTTTGTAGTGCCCAAAAAAAATCATAAACCAATCTGTAGTGACTTGGTTTTTAAAAAGTGCCCATTCAGTTTTGGCCGAAAAATTCATAAGCCAAACTGTAGACATTATCGGCCAGTTGAGGCTGGGTTCCAAGAAAATTGAAAAACCAATCTGTAGTGACTTTGTGTTCTCAAAGTGCCAAATGTTGATTTCCAAGAAAATTACAAAACCAATCTGTAGTCATTTTCAGTGCTCAGTGCTCATTTCCAAGAAAATTACAGAACCATTTTTTAGTGACTTGGTTTTTAAAAAGTGCCCATTCAGTTTTGGCCAAGAAAATTATTAACCAAACTGTAGACTTTGTCGGTGGTTCGGTGCTGGTTTCTAAGAAAACTGAAAAACCAATTTGTAGTGACTTTGTGGTTTCATTTGTGATAAGTGCTGATTTCCAAGAAAATGTCAAAACCCATCTGTAGTCATTTTCAGTGCTCAGTGCTGATTTCCAAGAAAATTACAGAACCAATCTGTAGTGATTTTGTGAAGATTATGAAGAATGTTTTGTATTGTTTTTATTGTTTTGTGAGATGTGAGACAGTTGGGTGCAGCCAGTGCAGAGGTTTGCTGCCGGTAGTTTGGCTATGCGTAGCTATTCAGGAATGGAACGACAAAGTGCCGCAGCCACAAGGATAAAAAAACAACCGCCAGATTCACATGGTTTCGTGCCTGGTGATGCATGGTGATGATTGGATATGATTGGTGAATATTGGTGATGCATGGTGATGCATGGTGATGGGAGCGGTGGATAGTGGATGATACTGGATGATAGATGATGATAGTGGATGATAGTGGTGGGAAGGGGATTCTGGATGATTCATGATGATTCTGGAATCATCTGGAATCTATTTTTACAATCTTTTACAATCTTTTACATGCAGATAGAAACAGATTATATATATATATAGATAGATTTAGCCGCATGATTTAGCCTTACAGAATGGGTTTGCAGTTTTTTGCTGAAAACAACGAAGAAACCTACAAAATGGTTTATAGTTTTTTTGAAAAATGCCAACCCATAGTTCACAAATAGGTTTGGTTTTACGAAATGGTTTTGTTTTTTTTGGGGGGGAACTTTTCACAGATAGGTTTATGTGCCGAACAACTTTACAAAATTGTTTTGTTTTTTCAGAAAAATGAAAAACTTTTGTTTTTTAATCAATACTACTAAATGGTTTTATCAAATATTTTTGGATTTGGCCAGAGATTGGGTTTGGCTTTACAAAATGGCTTTGGTACTTTTCAAAAAACAACGAATACATCTACAAAATGGTTTGTAGTTTTTTTTGGGAAAATGCTACCTCATTGATTCAAAAATGACTGAGCCTTACAGAATGGTTTATAAAATTCCTGGAAATCTGAAGATATCTGAAGTTATTTCTACAAAATGGTTTGTAAAATAGTTGCTACACAATGGTATTTGAAGTGTTTTTCCTCAAAATACATTTGAAAAACCATTTTGTAGGGAGCCTTCAACCATTCTGTAGTGGGGTGGGGTTGGGTGCCTCTACGTTTTGGCTCCCCCAACCCAACCCCCCAAATTCCAAGTGGGATTGCTTTGCATTGTTTTATATTGTTTTGTGAAATGTGAGACAGTTGGGTGCAGCCAGTGCAGGCAGAGGTTTGCTGCCGGTAGTTTGGCTATACGTAGCTATTCAGGAATGGAACGACAAAGTGCCGCAGCCACAAGGATAAAAAAAAACAACCGCCATTTTCACATGGTTTCGTGCCTGGTGATGCATGGTGATGATTGGATATGATTGGTGATGCATGGTGATGCATGGTGATGGGAGCGGTGGATAGTGGATGATACTGGATGATAGATGATGATAGTGGATGATAGTGGTGGGAAGGGGATTCTGGATGATTCATGATGATTCTGGAATCATCTGGAATCTATTTTTACAATCTTTTACAATCTTTTACATACAGATAGAAACAGATTATATATATATAGATTTAGCCGCATGATTTAGCCTTACAGAATGGTTTTGTAGTTTTTTGCTGAAAACAACGAACAAACCTACAAAATGGTTTATAGTTTTTTTGAAAAATGTCAATCCATAGTTCACAAATAGGTTTGGTTTTACAAAATGGTTTTGTTTTTTTGGGGGGGAACTTTCACAGATGGGTTTATGTGCTGAACAACTTTACAAAATGGTTTTGATGTTTTTTCAGAAAAATGAAAAACACCTATGTTTTTCAAGGAATACTACTAAATGGTTTTATATTTTTGGGGGGGATTTGGCCAGGGATTGGGGCTTGCTTTACAAAATGGCTTTGGTACTTTTCAAAAAACAACGAGTACATCTACAAAATGGTTTGTAGTTTTTTTGGGGAAAATGCTACCTCATTGATTCAAAAATGACTGAGCCTTACAGAATGGTTTATAAAATTCCTGGAAATCTGAAGATATCTGAAGTTATTTCTACAAAATGGTTTGTAAAATAATTGCTACACAATGGTTTTTAAATGTTTTTCATCAAAAAAACATTTAAAAACCATTTTGTAGGGAGTTTGGGGTTGGGTGCCTCTACGTTTTGGCTCCCCCAACCCAACCCCCCAAATTCCAAGGCGGATTGAAATGTAATTTTTCTTAGTGGACCTTTGAAGTTATAAGATAAAACCTGTGGTTAAACCGCGCAAACCCCTCAGCAGCTGAAGTCAGCAGAAAAAACATAAAAACTGTGTTTCAAAACGTATGGAATTTCAAGTGATGATTATCCCTCATCAATGTTTATTTCCTACCTAGTTAGGTTTCATATGTTATTTTTTCGTGTTGGTGCTAAATGAAGTCATCAAATTTGTGGCATACATCTCTAGCGTGTCCGCCCGCACTCCGCAAAGGGAAGCTGCAGCGCGCAGTGTTGGAGCAGGCACGCGGGGTGGCTGAGGCCGTTGGTATTTTTCCGGAACAGAACTGGCAAACTAGAAAGTTCCTTCAGCATTGGTTTTAGGCGGATTTAGATAGATAGAGAGAGAGAGAGATATATATATGTGTGTGTGTGTTTATATAGTTTATAAACCGACTTACCTTGGAGGGCCCCACGGCCCCACACGTTGGTAGCTTGATTGCGAGGTAATTAAGTAAATTATTGAGTTGACTGTTCATTCCATACTTGCGTTATATATGGGTTTGTTTTTTACAACGTTAAGGAGGAAAGACTTTTGCCACTTTCACCATTGAAGTCTTGTTCAAGGACATTCAGCATGTACATGATATATGTGACAGCAATGAAACTGCGAAGCGGATATTAGCTATGGCTCGTCACTTCCCATCTACAAGCTCCCGGCCCCCCATGCTCAACACACGTGAAGGCTTTTTGTGATCAGTGAAGATTAAGTCATGTATATCTCATGTTCAGTTCCCCATGTTCGATGTTGACTCCCCAACATTGCAGTCAATGAACTTGAAATAGCTACCTTCTATGAATTGTCTAACGAATCAATTGAAATTCCCACGAGTTCGTCAAGTTTGTCAGTAATTATATTTTTCATGACTTGTTTGAAATATGTCGAAATCATCCCAGTTAATTTCAAGTCCATTTCCTATTTTCAGCAGCCGTCCTCGATTTACGCGAGCTCTGCCATGTCCAGGATGCTGAACAGCTGAGGAAGCTTGCCATGAGACGAAGCAGGCCAGGGTGTTGCTGCTGGGCCCGGCATTTTCAGACTCCCAAAGGGTTGGTTGCTGGAGGGACAACAAGTGGGCCTTTATTGTAGATAAGTGAGAGGCAACAGCCCAGAACCAACAATCACCTTTGACTTTTCTTTATAGTCGATGAACCCTTATGACTAGGGTAAAATCACTTAGTGAGAGGGCTTGATTGAATCCCTATCATATGCTGGATGAAGGGGAAGTCACGCTGGTTGATTCTTTTGAGTGGGGTACATTTCACATCCGGCCCATTAAAGGTGGTTTTTGTTGCTGGGCATCTAAGAGTAGCAATTTCGATGGTGTTAAATATCAACCTTTTATGGTGTAAGAGCGTGTTTTTACAGTGATTCACACCAACCCCAAAAATTGCATGTTTTTTTTAAATATCTATATCCTAGGTTGGTTGAAAGGAAAAGCCAGGTTTTCCTGCTGATTTTTTCTTGACCCACCTTGATATCTTTCATGAAACGAATTTGTTCTAGAGGAAAAATAAGCCCTTGGTTTGTACCCAAGACAAGCTGCCCATGTAGCCATGATCAGGCACGAAACAAACCCATCCCATTGTTGGTAAGTATCCATACCATACATGCCTCCAAATATTGGTTTATTTGTGGTATTTTGCGGGTCAACGAAGATAATATCAACAAATCTGGGATGAGAAGGGAGATTTCCTGGCCGGGGCCGGGGTGCAAGCAACAAACCTCTTGGTTTTAGTATGGTGGCAGACAACAACGTGCAGACGTCCGGCAAACAGTGATAAACACGAGGGAGTTGGCGGCCTCCTCAGCCATTTCAGATTTTTGCGCCACCTCCAAAGTTACAGTCTGCTGGAACCATGGCAACTTGTACAGAAGCTTGGCAGCTGAACCAGAACCATGTTTTGAGTTTGCACCAGGGTGTATGGATCAATCATACTTGCTAGGGAATCATAGGGAGTCCTGGAGACTTGAATCTGAATAGTAACAAGATATGACAAACAGAGTGGTGTTGGCATGTGAGCTTTTTGACTATATCATGCAGCTATGGTTCCTGCATTGTCCTTTCATTCCTCCATGCAGCAAAATCAGGGAGAACCACTCCCAACTAAGTGACCATGACAGGGTGCAAACGTGATTATTTCATAATTGAAAGGTACGGTCACATTTGCATATGTGTATGTGCAATATATATATATATATTATATGTAAGTATATGTATATATATATATTATATTTTTTTACCTGCGCATATATTTACAGACAAATGCAATACATAATATGTATTTTGGTGTATATATATTTATAGATCGACGACTCAATAGAGATGTAATTCAAGAATATATCATAAAATATAATTTGGTATAATATGATCTAAAATTTGATGGAAAATGTCATGTTTTGATATACACACATGTTTAAATGTATATGTATATATATAAATATCATACTATATGCTATGTACTATCTATAATATATTTTTCATTTTAGTTCAGTTGTTTATATTTGGTTTTTTGAAAGATACTATATTATATGTTATTATAGTAAATGTTTTATTTTATTTACATATATTGTATTGTATGGCATTGTTTTTTAAATAAATATATATGTATATTAATATCACCTTATTTCATTTGTTATATATATATATTTATTCTTTTATAGTTTTTACTTATATATATAATACCATGGTTGATGTTTTTGTATTTATATATATATAGACTGTTTTGTTTTTTAATACATATATATATATCGGGTTGGAATAACAATCCATTGTCTCTAAACATAGTTTTTCAACATTTTCATAAACTATAATCAACTATAGATAGATAGATGGATGCATAGATAGATAGATAGATAGATACATAGATACATAGACACATAGATAGATAGATGGATGGATGGATGGATGGATAGATAGATAGATAGATAGGTAGATAGATAGATAGATAGAGATAGAGAGATAGAGAGAAAGAGAGATAGAGAGATAGAGAGATAGAGAAGAGAGAGGGAGAGAGAGAGAGAGTGAGAGAGAGAGAGAGATATAGAGAGATAGAGATAGTGATAATAATAGAGATAGTTTTAGAGATAGCGATAGACATAGATATAGGTAGAGAGATAGATATACAGCATATATATATATATATATATACACACAATCCCATACGAGCTGGACACCCCTGGAACCATCCCACCAAGGAGACTCTCCCCGTTGTCACCGTTGCCCCCATGGCCACCCCGGCGCCCACCACCATGGGCCGCCAGCTGCTGGGTGGCGCCACAAACCCTGCGGAGGAGGAGCGCTGGAGGCTGCAGGAACGGATGCCGCCCTCGGTGTCCTTGGAATCTTGGGAGAAAAGATGACATTTGCCATCACCAATAGGGATTTAACCATCCGGGGGGGATTCATGGAATTTATCCTCTGGTAAGCATACAAAAAAACGATGGAACATCACCTTTTTCAGGGGAAAATCAACTATTTCTATGGGTCATTTTCTATGTCGCTATGTAACAAATTACCAGAGGGTAGCCATCAGCAATAGGGTTTTCACAGTCCATAGCTTGAACCCCACCTCATATGCTTAGTTTTTCGAACAAACAAAAGGGATGATTGCGATGTCGAGCATATAAAGGTGGGAGGAGTGAAAAAAAACATGAACCAGCTGGAGGTTTGGGAGATTTTTACCATGAAAAGGCAGGTTGTTTTACCATTTAAAACATGTCAGTTGCTATTTAAAACGCATTAATTTACCGTAGCTATCAGAGATTTTTGGGGGTTGATCGTAATCCATTAATCATGGCGCTGTCCATTCTACCAGCCATTGTTGTGGGATGCTCATACAATAGTTTTCAAACATTTGGAAACATAACTTACCACATTTCACACTATTTTGTTAGTAGGATTTTACTTTTATCTCTTGTTGGGTCATCATCGGGAACTTCATTTTTGGGTGGACCTGCCAGTTTTTGATACTGGTTCAGGTTGGATTTTGTATCGTTTTCCAGTTTTTTTTTCAAAAATAAGTTTTACTTGAATGGAAAGAACCAAAGATAAGAGTCTTCAGAGGGTGTTTGAGCGACCAAAAAAACATGTTGTTGGCAAGAATTGAGGATTTGACTTGTACAAATATACAATTGGAATTCAAACTACGAACCCGTGGCATCAAGCAAATCAAGCACTCGATACCCCCACCATCAAACCTTTAGATTTTTGGAACTGAATCAGAGATGATGGCTTAGGGATAGGTTTCCAGTATGGTTACGTGGCATTTTTTATATATAAAGAAACCAGAATAGGCAATCGACCTGAACATGTTTCTGTGGAAAAAAAATGGTTGGTGAGTGGGCGAATCTGTCACCTACATTGGCCATGGATTAGCGACCCAATTGTCCCACCCTTTGGCACACTGAGAATCTCATCTATCTCCTCCTCATCCTGTTGGTTCTAAATGTGGAGATCGTGGTTCCCACCGCCGATCAGTACGCCAAGCGCCTGGGAGCCTCCGAGAGTTTCTGGGTTGGAAGATCGCTCAAGGGTCTAGGACTTGATGTCTCTATGGTTGGTATAGGTTCCCCAAGGTTATGCATTTAATCAGCATGGTTGCTATGCAACAAGCCCTATCGTAGATCTTTATTCATATTATATATATATATATTTATTTATTTATTTAAATGTCATGTGCTGGCTGGCGGCATTTATTGTTGTTTTTCGAAGTCATCCATACATTTTTTCCGGGGAGAAGATTCATTACTGCCCGTGATCAATGTTCACCCGAGGTGATGACTTTGAGATGTTTTCCCCTTAGTTGCCTCCGCAACTCCCAGTCTGATAATGGGAAAACTAAAGCAGAAAATCCAACAAAAAGTGGCTTAAGATCCCTGAAAGTCACCCAGGCTTTAGCGGATTGGTCATCGCCCTCACACCTTTCTTCCAGGGCATCATCGGGGTGCCTCTGAACTATGTCATGTTGAGGCGAACGGTTGGCACCCTTGGGATCTGAAGGCTACGGTTTAGAAAGGGGAGAGCCGGACGGGGACTCAGTGCCAAAAGAATCATTCTTGACAGAAAACCTGAGTGGTACCAGTACGGATGAAAATTGAAGGTGGGAAATTGAGCAGGATTTTCGAGTTTTTATGACCTATGATCATGAAGATTCATGAAGATTTAAAGCTGTAAGCCTTGACTCGTTCTTCAAATTAGTGATGGAGCCTGGTATTCATCATCACGTACTATCCCCTGTAGGCTGTAGTGTTCAACTGATCAGAGACATACAATTACCTGACTTGATTCTTACCATGCAAATCCGGCAACTTGTCAATTAAAGGAATGAAGACAGTACATTAGTTTGCCCCAAAACGATGGCATAGCTCCTTGAAAAGCGATTCATAAAGGGGAAGTAGACGTTCATCAACGTGACGATTAATGCCCTCAAAATCAGGGTCCTACTTACTGCTCTTGCACGGTGGCACCCCTGGTACGTGCAGCCCTGCGTCAGTCGAAACGTCTCAATGAAGAGCATTATCATCATCATGGTGGCTGCCTGGTTGCATGGGGCGCGCTCGGACGGTCACTCCTGGAACATGGTTTGCAATGTATAGAATGTATAGAGGGATGTCCCTTGATACAAGTTGTACAGTTTGTACCACTTTTTTTCCCCACTTCCAGGAGACCCACCTCCCAAGGCGGGCTCGGTGGTGGGCAACGTGCTCTACGCCCTGGCGGGTCTGATGCACTCGAAGGTCGCCATCCTGGCATCACGAACGATGATCGGTGAACTGGACACGCATGGGGGTGGCACGTGTCCTTCAATTGATTGGTTTTCTAGGGACATTTTTAACCGGAACGCCCCATATTGAATGGGACAATCTATGGTTTCCTGTCAAGATTGCCCTCAAACCAATCCATGTTTGGGTGTGTTATAAACATTTCCCGATGGTTATATCATAAAAAAAAACATACATCATAATTATATCATATACTATGTAAACCATCACAAACATCATGATTTTGATGTTTGGTGTCTTACAGTAAAAATCGAAACCTAGGTGTTTATAATCATAGGTAGTTGGATATGTCATAATATATAATCATATGGCATGTTGTTTCAACACACTATTATTTTGTTTAAAGTATATAGCAGGTATGAAAACACAATGAAAAGCAGTAACTTCATATTGATGTAAAAAAGACACATGAAAAAACTATATAATTATGTGGTGTGGATGAGAATGTACAAGTGCGTTTTGGCATTATTATATTTATATATATATACATATTACGTTTATATGACGTGTGTGGGAGTTTTATTGCAAAAAATATCAAAACACAGAAGGATTGGGTCACCGTTGAATGGTTGAACAGTGATGTTGGAGTGTTATTGGAATAGGTCTTGGTCAGATGGAATGTCGTGTTGGTGTTGCACGTCTTGGGTATTGGAAAATGGTGGGGCTTGCCATGGTCATTTTGGTTGAGAATCCGGCATCCGCAGCCACTGAGGTATTTGCCAGTGCCAATTGGCTGGGCCGATCTACATTGCCAGGGCGGTTGGCGTCAAGAAACGCACCAAGGTGGGCCAGGGATTTGGAGTTGGAGAGGATTTGTTGCAGAGTTCGTCATGGTTGGTCTAAAAAATTGGGAAATGATGACAAGCCAGTTGATTGTTTGCAGTTGATTTTACTTTTATTTGATGGATTTTAAGGGTTTTGCCCATCAATTTCAGGTTCCAAAGGCTTAAATGATAAATGGACACAGAACTGGCGCTTCAACACTGAAAAATCCAACCTTCAGGTGATGTTCCTCTACTCCACTATGTCAGCAGTGGCATTCTTCGGTGCCTTGAAATTTGCAGCGGACTTCAGCAGTTGCACATCGAACTGTTGTTTCACGCGCAGGGATTCTAAAAATGAACATTAGACATATATATATATATATATGCGTATATAAATATTATATATATATATATTTATTATTCTTATATATATATATAGTAATATTATATTATAGATAAATTATAAATTAGATTAAACTTATATTAAAATGTATTATATTATATTATATTATATTATGGCATTTTATGTTATATTAAATTATATTTTATTAAATTATATTATATGTTAATATGTTATATTAAATGTTAATATATTATATTCTATGATGATGTGTGTTATTATATTATTTTATAGTATTTTTTTTTGCTATATTATATTATATTATATGATGATGTGTGTTATTATATTGTATTATTGTGTATTATATTATATTATATTATATTATATTATATTATATTATGTTCTATTTGTATTTGTTATATTTTGGTTTAGTATAGTATAGTATAGTACAGTATAGTATATTTTATCATACCATACAACATGTTTTAATATTTTACTATATTTTATCATTACATACATATATATATATATATATATCTACACAGTAGACGGTTGGCATTATTGATGGGAAATATCTATGATTGATTGTCGCTAACTTTGAGGTTTCTGAATGTTTCTGAATGTTTTTGATCGTTTATATGGTTTTATGTTGAAGTTCTGAGTGGCTTAGCCACAAACCACAGCTTGCTCAACCATGTCATATCAAATCCCATTTTGTTGTACACCTGATGTCCAGCAAATGTGTATGTATCAAAATTTGGTAGCCCGACCACTCGAACGAGTTGGATACTGAAATTGTTTAAAAATACACAAGTCTATGACTTTGAAGTTTGCTATGGTTGTCCCATGCGTGTTTTTTTTTCAAACGTTTTCCCCTTCAAAACAAGTCCCTTCCCATGGACGCACCGCAGGCGCTCCCTTGATCGCCTCCTTGCTCGAAATCTTCGTGAAGGAGTTGCGAATCGAAGACTTGGTGCCCTTGGGGTGACAATGTGGCGCCCAACATGCTCCAACTCACCATGATATCAATGGTTTGTTTTGCTCAGTGAGTCTCAAATGATCTGGAAGCCGTTTCCTTGGATCATTGGATCATCATTCCAGGCCTGTGTGGTTTTTGGACACTGGCGGGCCAACAAAGTCACAAAGTCTACAGCAAAACTTGACCCCAAACTCATTCTTCCCTGTTTAAATGATAGATTTTACTGCGTAGCTGGTTGACTTCTAAAATTGCTAGTGTCTTACTTGAAGGTCGACTGCCCTCTAGGTACTCGATTCTGATACCATCCCTGGTTGGTTTATGGCTGCATTGTACTTCGTTTACATGCTGCTGATTGTCTTTTTGTTCGAGGATGCTTGGTTCTGAACTGTGAGGCATGACACTCTGATCCCCGCATTTGAGCATATCTGTAGAGAGCAATGTGAAAGTTCTTGTGAGATGGGTCCTTTGCTCCCTTTTCCGAAGAAAGCAGCGCAGTACGAGTTTCACCGATTGGAACTGATTGGAACTGATTGGAACTCCAGTTTTGATGAACAATGTCATTCTACTGCCAGCACTTCTCTCCTTGACGCCCTCCAAGTCTCACATGGAACCCAAAGATGCAAATTTCCTATCAAAATGTCATCTTATCATATCAAAAATTCATCTTATCATATTATCCAACCATATTCAACCTTTCTTCAAGTTTTTAGATGAATTTCCATGTTCTATACAGGCCTGATTCCCATCGCACCTGCTCTCCACACCCTGAGGACCCGGTGGATGCACCGCAATCTCCTGCAAGCGCTGCCAGCGCTAGCGACGCCGCCGGGGAGAAGCCGACGGAGTCGCTGTGGCGACCGGGCTTCTTGATCTGCCTTGTGGCGTCCTTCGTCAGCCACTTGGTCCACGACATTCCACGACTCAAAACCTGGAGGTAGAGGAACGTGCCAGAGGTCCTATTAGTAATAATATTTAGTAAAATGTATGCTTATAGTTTGTTTTTATATGTTTATTGAATTTTACGAGATATATATGGTTATGACATGTTTTGACCAACCAGAATGGAAATTGAGAGTTTATGGTATGTTGTGGTTTATAACTAGACCCACTGGGATTTTGCATCGGGATTGTGGGTAAATTTACTCCCATCCCTGTACGGTTTTTGGGGTTCCTCGGGTTCCTCCCATCAGCAACCGAGGCCCTATGACCACCACCATGTGCATCGTTTTCTTCGTGAAGCTGGCAGAGAAGGCCGAAAAAAATGGTTGAAAAATGCTCCACACCATGCGGTTCCTGGGCACGCCATGGTAAACCTTGGTAAATCCTGGTTAGTTAACAGTTAAGTTAACAGTTAACACCATAAATGTTGGGAAACCTTGGTAAACCATGGTAAATCCTGGTTACTGGATGAATTTTCAGATGTTTTTAGCCACAACTGAAGCGACAACATGCCAGGTCTGGGATTTGAGTGTGAGCGCCACGGGTCTTTGGCTGGCCGGCGCTATGGTTGTAGCTTGGGCACTGCATGCTTGAAATCCTGTGGGCCTAATATAATGCTTTAATCATCAAGAGTGGGTACATTTAGTAATTACTATTTACTGGGATATCACTGGAGCTATACTGGGATATAATGGGATATGTGACCAACATTCACCATCTATATATCTCCTGTTTGGGTGTGAAAAAAGAAGGCTTAGGCTGCAATTGATGGCCACTTTCATGGGAATTTTTGGATGATCAGGTTCCAGGCTCCGGGTCGTCTCGGAGTCCAGCTACGTAGGTATTGTAAATGATCCACGTATCTCCGTGTATATCTGGTTGGTGGTTTGGAACATGAATTTTATTTTTCCATATATTGGGAATAATAATCCCAACTGACTTTCACATTTTTCAGAGGGGTAGGTATACCACCAACCAGATATCCAAGTATTGGAGTCATCATGAGTAATCCATATTAACTCCCGGAGCTTCACCGTCGGGGTAGTCTTCCAATCTGAGGCTGCGTCTTGTCAGGTCCTGGATGGTCCTGGAAAGCACCGTTTTTTTGAAGTGACTGTCTTACTATCGGCATTAGGCTTTAGACTATCCGGTTGGATCGTGGAATGTCTACATGTTGGGGTTAATCCATTTTAGTCATCCGTTTTTCTCTACTAGCTGGAGTTTCTTCGATTGCTGTCCCCTTTTTTTTGGATTGACTCGAAATCAGCTGCCCATGAGGTCGTGGCTGTGATGAGTTTCCTCAGCAGTTTCGTGACGCCCTACGTGGAAGATCGTCGGGGGTTGTTGTTCAGCTCCTTGCTCGCCTGTGCCATGGCTGAGATGAAGAGGTTGCAGGATATATATATATATATATTTTATGATTATATGATTGTATAGGTAGATGGTAACATGTCTCTGTGCCGGAAAAAAATATTCACCAAACAAGTTACCTTCCGGTGTCATCGAACGTGTCTAGATTCAAAATCACCCTAGAAATGAATATAAATGGGCATTTCTGTGAGTGGGAAAATCATCGATCCAAATGGTGGATACATGACATGTGGCCTCTGTAACCGGGCCGTTAGGATGAGGTCGCTGTGGATTTACCAACCAGCGCAGGTATCAGTGCAACACTGACGTTCCATTTGGGACACGAGTGGACGACAGCCTCTATCACCATCTTCGTGGTTGGCTTTCTGCTGATGCAATCCTGTTCAGGCCGATGGGGCGCCCTGATGGTGCTGAGTTCAGCAGCCAGAGTTGTGTCAAATAAATTATATATGTCTTGTTGGGAAGATCATATCCACACTAAGTGATGTATCTTGTCTAGTTACTTGCAACCTTCAACCAGCTTTCTGTACAAACTGATTAGTTTTGCTTCCCGTTTGCTTTTGCAGATCGCAGCACGGTGAAACTGATCGTTATTTTTTTTGGGCGTTGCAGCTCACAGCCCTCCATCCGACCTCAACCATATTCCTGGAAGAACCCAAGCCTCAACTCCCAGTCACAGCAGTTGTTGACAGCCCCTTCGCCGCTACGCGTCATAGCGCAGGGGTGGTGAAGAACTACGGCTACGCGCTGGCACCGAAGATTGTGGCGCCACACCTCAAGGAGCTGCTCGATGACCCCATGGTTGGTTCATTAATGGGATGATTTATGTCATCGGCTTCACCTCATTAATAATATGTTCTAGTAAAACCATATTTATATAGTTATATTTACCATGAATAGCCCATACTGTATTTGGTGACTCACCCACTCTTTCTTTCTTTGAATCCACGCCTGACCGCAGGATGCTGCAGGCACGGTGAACATGATCGTTTTGCAGCTGGGTCGGGGCACCGGAGCACAGCTTGGCGCGGTGATGAACGCCACTTCTTTTGCGGCCTCCCAGGTGTGGGGGTTGGAGGATCCGAGGCGATATGGGTTATAATTTGTAATTTATCGATGATTTCCCTGTAAAAAGCGTAACCGGTTCATAATCCCGGGGTCTATCCTGGTCATTAAGTCCCTGATTCGTGTGTGATCCTAGGTGGAAGTGGATGATTACCCCACTTACCAAGCCGTTATGCGTTAGTGGGATGATCCTCCAAGTGGGATGGGGTAGGAGCTTCCATGCCATGTTTTGTTGATCCATGATCCAAGATTTACAATGATGTCCACTCCGAACGGTGAATATTCTGCACCCATCAGGTAGGCTCCTATATGCTCTTGGCTATCTTGGTTTCGATCTTCAGCAACCAGCTGAAAACCCACGCCAAGGCTTTGTGAGGGCGTAGAATTCGACCGCTGTGATCTAGCAGCCCCTGGGATGTGAAATGTCCAGACCGGGTGACATGTGAGTAAGACAAGGTTATCACTTTCAAAATAACGAATCGTGATTTGACATCTGATATTCTTGAGTGTGAAAACTTCCACTGTGGTACCCTACATAGATACAGAGCCGATAAATGCTGATATCTTGAACGCTTATTCTTGGCATGGGACATCCTAACACTTTGGAGTTTGGATGCAAAAAAGGTCGTAATCAGGTCATGGTCGTTGCAGGGGTTCCAGTAACTCCCTTGAGGCACGGCACCTGGCAACGAAGGGGGGCCGCCGGATTTGCTGGATATACTCAGTTTCTGCATAAAGATCATAAAGGTTGGAGGAACATCTACAAAAACACAAATTATCCCAAATTAACCCTCTGGTAAACTAACCGTTTGCGAACTGGAAAATCACCATCTTGAAGTTTGGTAAACAACTATTTCTATGGGCCATTTTCTATGTCGCAAACTGGCAATTGGCATCCCAGTGGTGGCTCGTCCTGCATGCCCCGCGGCTCCGCGCAACCTGCGCCCTGCCGCACTGTACAGCACCGGCCAAGCAGTGCCGGGTGAGTGATTCCTTCCGTTGTGCGCGCGGAAATTGTGGGATGCGGGTCTGGTTCTATATTCAGTTTTTTTGGAGCTGATTGATCCGGAAATCAAACGTGGCTGGCTGGAAAATCCACTAGAAATGAAGGTGTCAATACGAAAATCATCTGTAAATATGACGGATTTTCCATTCCCATGTTGGCGTACCCGAGGCTCTGTGAAAACGTGAGGGTTCTGAAGACTTCGAGGACAGTCAACGAACATTCCACTGCTTCCAAAGTTGTTCCAGTTCCAAATTTGGATAAATTTGGACATTTTTTATTGGATAACCCGAAGCAAAGATATATGAAAAGTAATTCCTCACTATTGTTACTGTAAGTACGATTTTACTTTTCTATCTTTTTTGGGTGTTGCTGTGCCGCCAGGTACCCGGAGTCCTTCGAGAACTGCTCGGAGTGCTGCATGATCCCTGCCAGCTTGACGATGGCAGGCTGGCACCTTTTTGTGGTGGTTGAAACAGCGGTGAAGCCGTCATTTCAACAACTGTAAGTCCTCGATTTTGTCCTTGAATTTTTGCCTAGTCACACTAGTCACCTGGTGTATCATGATGATACTACCCCCAAAAATGGTGAGTGAAAAGTTTGGGACTTGCCACATTGCCAAACATGGCTTAAGCATGCATAAACATGGGTTAAGCATGGGATGATGAGCCCCGATGGCCTCGATACTTGTACCACAAAGATCCACAAAGTGGGATGGGCGGGTTGGCAATGGGTGTTTGCTAAGAATTAGTACTTCAAGGTCGCCTGATAACAGATAGCTAGTTTTTTCTTCTATGCGAATTTACGATCAACTTGGGCATGTCCAAATCCATGAAATCTATACCCTCCAGTAATCAAACGTAGTAATGGAAAACTCTCCATTTTCCCAGCTATAAACCTCATTAAAGCATATTCAGCATTATTAAACCTCCATTTGGTTCGGTGATTTCGAAGCTAGCCATGTTTGATTACCGCAAGCATCCGCAAGCTATATTCCATTATTCTCCCAACTAGTATCCGACTGATATTAATCCCATTGATCGTCCCATTTATCATCTCATTTGCACTGTGGATTTGCACAACCCTTGTGGGGAAATAGTAAAAAATATATTTTAATGTTTGAGCAACCTGGGTAACTACTTAAAGCATTGGAAAACTCGTATGAACCATTGGAATCAAATCGCTGCACTTTGGAATTATCATGCCGTACACGGTTTTGAACAACATGTCAAAATGTAGAGCCATGATGGACAAAACAAAGGCCAACAGGTTTTTGCATATCAGCCCTTGCTTGTGTGCTGCTGGCACAACTCTTCCACGTGGCCGGTCACAAGAAGGTAACCAAAAAATAAAAACACAACTGATACATATTTGACTCGTTTCTCTTTAGCGGCGAGATTTATCAACACCAGCTCTTTGAAATAAGAATTCTACATACTATAGGTACTTACATACATACATGCATTACATTTACATTTACATTTACATGTGCATGTACATGTACATGTACATGTACATTACATTACATTACATTGCATTACATTACATACATACATGCATACATACATATGTTTGTTTCTTTTTGTTTTTGCGGGGAGGTTCAAAGAAGGTAAAGCGGGCACAATCTATATAGGTTTGTGTATACTTACCTATGTGCCGTTCCGCGAAAATTGCATTCATTTTTCTGGTCGGGCTAATGTTGTTGTCGAGCGTGTGTGCGTTGGAAATCAAAGCAAAACAAAATAACATTATTTGAACAGTTTTGTTAGCTGTTTCTTGGTGCACACCCCGGACAAAATCCACTACATTGTAAAACTTTCAATAACGTTTTCTTTTTGGATGTTTCCAGGGCCAGCTCAAAGAAAACAAATAGACAAAATAGGACAGATTTTCAGCGGCTTTTTAAGCACTCGTTTTCTGGGCCCAAATCCAAGCAACATATGAACGTTTGAAAAATGAAAGCAATATTGCTGGCAGGTTTTTTTTGCGTGCCTTTTTCTGGTGCGATCTCCGCAAAACAAACCAAAACAGCTTTATTATGTCGCCCAATTTCCCATGGCCAGCCCTTCAAAAAAAAAATATATATATTATATTTGTTCAATTTTTTTGCCGCAGATTTTCCCGCGACCAGCCTTCCAAAAAAATAAACATATGTATATATATATATATTTGTTTTTTTTGTTCAGTTTTTTTTCGCCGATTTTTCCGCAGCCAGCCCTCCCTTCCCACCCCCAAAAAAAACATACATTTTGTTCATTTTTTGTCGCCGATTTGCCCGCGGCCAGCCCTCCAAAAAATATAAGTCTAAAAAAAATAAAAACATATTTTTTCAGTTTTGTAACCGCTGATTTTCCCGCCACCAGCCCTCAAAAAAATAAAAGATTAAAAAAAAAAAACATAGTTTTTTAATTTTTTTTGCCGCTGATTTTCCCGCGACCAGCCCTCCAAAAAATATAAATTAAATAAATGAAACTTATATTTTTTCAGTTTTTTTCTCGCCGATTTTCCCGCGACCAGCCCTCCAAAAAATATAAGTTTCAAAAAAATAAAAGTTATATTTTTTCGTTTTTTTTTGCCGCCAATTTTCCCGCGAACAAAAAATAGAAGTTTAAATAAAATAAAACATATATTTTTTCAGTTTTTTTTGTCGCCGATTTTCCAGCGACCAGCCTTCCAAAAAATATAAGTTTTTTTTTTTTTTAAAAAATAAACTGTTTTAAGTTTTTTTTGCTGCCGATTTTCCAGCGACCAGCCCTCCAGAAAATCTAAGTGTTTAAAAAATAAGACTTATATTTGTTTAGCCTTTTTGCCGCCGATTTTCCCGCGACCAGCAAAAAAACATATATAACCATATTAAATAACATCAAATAACCATATTGTTAACCATTCCCCTTGGCTGGCGTTGCTGCGCTGCCTGGCTGCGGTTGATTGACCCGGGCAATAGATACTGATAAATATTTAAATTTATATACAGGCATATATATATATGTATACATATATATATATAAATGTATTTATTTATTTACATATACGTATATATTTATTTGTATATGCGTGTGCGTGAGATCCGCGCTAAAATGCTGACAGACAAGGAATTTTCAAAGCCGAAGGCGACAAATAGTCGGGCATTGGCGTGTTTTTGCGCATGTCATTAGAAGGCGGAGCCTTGTATATATGCAGTGAAATTGTTTCCCTGCACCTAGGCCCTAGGCTTGCGTTAATGTGGCACAAGGTACTTTGTTGTTCCAGGTCCTGCTTCGGCAACTCCACAGTAGCCTTACGTTTGGTAGATCTCTTTGGCCAGCATCACTAGCGTGACTTGTGAAGATATGTGAAAACAATTGTTTTTCAAGTTTTCACGGCTAGGCAGCTAGGCAGATCCACGCTAGATACATCCCCCAAGAATACGCTGTTGCCCAGTGGTCAGCTCACTGCACTTGAAAATCTAAGTGCGCTGCTTGCTTCAAATATAGGAACGTGATAGACAGCCGGCAGCAGCAACTGGGATATGGGCCATGGAGTCATGGAGTCCACTTTGTTCGTTAAAAGCACAGGAGATGCAGGGCATGTTCGTGATTCTAGTAACCCCGGCAGCTCCAGCCAAAAGAGGCGCCCGCTGGCTACTTTTGCAACATGTTGACCCAAATTGATCATACACAACTTTCTTCATGTCATGATTGAAGCCTGCTGGAACACTTGAACTTTAAAGGCAGAGTCCTGCAAATATGCAGTGAAGGTGATTTTCGTCCGTGTCTGGGAAAAGGAATTTAGAGAAGACCTCATACATACATTAAAAAAATCAATCCTAAGTATCGTTTGGATAGATAGATAGATAGTTAGATAGATAAGATAGATAGATAGATAGATAGATAGATAGTTAGATAGTTAGATAGATAGATAGATAGATAGGTCGATAGCTGGATAGAGAGCCGATCGGTAGATGGATCAATAGACAGATCGAAGGATCGATAGATCGACAGATGGAAAGACAGACAGATGGAAACATGGATGGATGGATGGATAGATTGATAGATGGGTGGATAGATAGATAGCTAGATCAATAGATGGCTACGCCCAGCGAGCGAGAGAGAGAGAGAGAGATAGATCAATAGATAGTGTCAAGTTGGGTTACGCGATTTTTCCCAGATGATCAGAAGGACCTGCCTGCCACAGAGAAATTCTTTGTGTGGGATGGTGCTGGCAATTGCTTCGAAGAGGAACAAGCAGAAAGATGGTGAGATTCCTGTTAAGGAAGGAAAGGTTAAGAAGATCTCCATTGGGCTCTCCCTCGGCCCAAGGCCGGTCACCAGTTGAGATCCTCATTTGGTGGTGGCATCGTGGGTTGGGGAATAAGCCAAGCTAGGAACTAGACCTCCAAAAAAAAGCGGTGGTTAACTTTATGGATACGTGAAAGTCTTTATTGTTCATCAGTGAAATG